AGAAGGTTTACTGGAAGTTCAGAAGTGGCAGATAGAGTTTCATGTGTCTGTATGATTCAGGGCATTGATCAACATCCTCATTCATTTCAGTTAACAGCATTTCAATATCAAAATCTAGGTCCTTCATAAAATCAACATCGGACACACCAGAAACAGCCGTTATGTGATTCTCCCTCACTTAAATCATACCAAAGGATGTCAACTGTACCCAAACTTAAATCATCACACATTTCATTGGCTCTACAGTAGTTTGACATTTTTCAGCAACTATGTTTGTAAACAATACTTCATAATTTATACACAAACGCTTGTTAACCATATAAAGACATATTTAAGTCAAGTAAATAGGTTGAAGAAGATGTTTTAAATAAAGCAAACGCTTTCAGTTGATGGTAAATTAAATATTTGAGCCGCGTCACGACAAAACCAACATAATGGGTTTGCGACCAGCATGGATCCAGACCAGCCTGCGCATCCGCGCAGTCTGATCAGGATCCATGCTGTTCGCTTACAAACCCTATAACAAGTAGAGAAACTGATAGCGAACAGCATGGATCCTGATCAGACTGCGCGGATGCGCAGGCTGGTCTGGATCCATGCTGGTCGCAAACGCATTACGTTGGTATTGTCGTGACGCGGCTCATATATTGAAATAAAAGACTTGTCCTCTTTGTCATACTTTCATATGACTTCACTCTTTAGAATGGTTTATAGTTATTTTAAAGGTATTTAACATAGAGGAGTACGGGACTGTGTCACAGACTTAAAATCACTTGACATTCAACACTAGCTGTTAGTTCAAATCTCATCAGAAAAATTTGGAGTCTTTTCAAGTTAGGAAGTTGTCAGGAAGGTTGGTGGTTCTTCTTGCGTACCCTCAAATTAATGAAATAGTATCCTAAAGTATGTTCTTCCACCAGTAAAGCTAGAAAGTATAAGCTTTATAGGCACATGCATGAATACAAATTATGGCATATAGTATACACAAGACATGTATCTGGTAGATCTAGGACCGATGCCATAAAGATTAGCCTTCTAACTATCGCGTGCACGCGGCGTCTAGTAGATACGCATTCGTTCAGTCAGCAATGTGGAAAATTTTAGTCTTGTTTATTATCTGAACTAAGGCCATATTATCGCAATTGAATCTAATTGTTTTGTTCACTAAATCCTAGCCCCAAATATATAACGCAACCAAAATGGGGAATAACTCTAACGCTGTTATATCGGACGTAATTCCGCGTTTGTGCCATAGCTGGGGCCATTTGTATGGCACCAATGTCCCTTGAAATATAACCCAAAGCCCCGAATTTGACCTCCCGCACTGTCAGAGCTTGACATTAGTTACCCAGAATCTGTCATGAAAAACAGATATTTCGTTAAAATCATTTAGAAAATACAACAACATATCAAAATTAAAGGCGAATAGCCTTCTTTATCCTTATACGAAGATATATTTTTGTAAGACCGCAAATTGAATTTATTAAACGGCGGATAAATGGCATAAAATAGATTTCATGCACTTTATCTGGATGATTAAGAAGATATATAGATGTGTAAATGATGAATGCGTTTGTCCATTTCTCTATAAACATGATTTTCTCTTCACATTTTCTTTGAACAGTTTCAATTTGACCATCGGCATTTATTTTGAAAATACTTCCACTGCAGAACTGTGATAACTCTACGGTGCCCTTTAACAACAAAGAGAGATTTACATACTCGCCCTTGCAAGTTTGTTGCTTAAGTGAAGACGGTACGTAGGCAGATAGATCGTCACTTGCCAGGCGAACAAAATAAGATAAAATAGTAGCGTGCGAGGTTGGGGGCAGTGAATTCAGGAGTGTTTGATTCGATTCCGGATTTCGAGAAAATAAATTTTGACCTAAAGTGTTGCCACACATCGATGGCATATTTCTATTTAAGATAGTTTTATTTCTCTTATCAGCGTGTCTTTAATAATTGTTTCAAAATCAATAAAAATGGACCTAGCAGCATTATCTCGCAAGAATCTGCTGTCCATTGACCCCTGGTCTGCTCAAGCCACGTGCTTACACGTGTTCCGTTTCTGCGCCATTCGCCCCCTCTGCATTTCGTTTGCACCCCCTTGTAACGTGTCTATCATTTGTAGGCCGCTTCTGATTCACATCTCTGCCCTGACTCCCCGCTCATCTTCGTCCCATAGCTCTCCTTACACCTCTACCTCGTGGCATTGCTGTCAATTTTAAATCTCACGTGTCGACTATAACTAGCTTACTGAGAATGTTGTACTGGGAATGTTGCACGGGATTTCGTGCAATGCATTAACCCGTCTAATGAAATTATACCTATTCTATACGCTAACTATAACGGGAACCTGACTTATGAAATAAACAAAACGTTACAGTGTAACAAAAAAAAAATATTTTATTTCTTAAGCTAAATAAAGGAAATTATTTCCATATAAATAATTTATATTATTATTATCGAGGGAGAAAAAAAATAGCAGGCGCATATACATGTAGGCCCTTACTAGTGCCAGTTTAATTCCGTTTTTTTTTTGTTGTTTTTTTTTTTTTTTTTTTTTATTTTATTTTTTTTTTTTTTTTTTTTTTTTTTTTTTTTTTTTCGTTTTTTTTTTTTCGTTGGACAAAATCACGAGCAGTGCTAGAATTAGAATTATAAACGTCAAGATTGTCCAATGAAAAAGCGACGTTACAAACGTATTAATTTATATTTATATGAAATATTGTAGCCCTCAAAGCCGACAAGTTGGTAGGTTAGAAGGAAATGGGTAACACGTTATAAAGGGAGGAATTTCCATTGAACAGTGTATTACTTGTTGAGGACATGTTCGATATTCTTTACAACTTTGAAGAGAAATTATTCGCATGGAGCTAATATAATGTATAATGTTTGATTTGATGCATTAAACACATGGCAATGCTGGACAGGTACCTAACTTTGTTCTGTCAAAGTTTTGTACCCCTCCGTAGACTGATTTTTATTTTATTTGTTAAAAAGTGCGATTTGTGGCCGGAAACTGCTAGGAAACCGGTAACTGTTTATTATTTGATTTCTTTTTAAACATACACGGGGCAAGCCAAAACTAAGGCCCGCTTCGCGTCTTCCCCGTATAACTAGCCACTGGAATAAATATTTACCTTCGTTATTAGCCTTTGCCACATGTATAACGCAAGGCTGGTCTCCACGTTGACCAGTGTTGTGTGACCAGAATGTAAACTGTAGGCTTAACAACTTCGAATTTTCCTCTTGATATGTCAAAATTGATAATACACCTAACTATGGTCACTAAAGACAGAACGTCGCTATATACAGGGGGTCACTAAGACAGTCTTTACTGTAGTCATATTTTCAAAATATAAAGGATGGGCACGCCCATTCAGTGATTAAGCACGTAATAATCATGGTTAAGGGATACATTGAAATCGGATACGAATATCACAGTTAAGGGATACAATGAAATCGGGCACGGAGCAACGGGGTTTTTATGGATACATTGAAATCAGGCATGGAGTATCACGGTAAAGGGATACAGTGGAATCGGGCGCGGAGTAGGTTAACGGATACAGTGGAATCGGGCACTTTGTATCACTGTTCAGGGATGCAGTGAAATCGGGGACGGAGAATCACGGTTAAGTGATAAAGTGAAATCGGGCACGGAGTATCACGGTTAAGGAAAACGATGAAATCAGGCACCGAGTATCACGGTTACGGGATACAATGAAATCGGGCACGGGAAATCTGGATTCTATGTTTGTCACAATTCCCCTTATAAAAGCCTAGTGTGACTTTAATTAGTAATACAGGCAGTCCGGTTAGATCAATAGGTAGAGAGAATCGGGCGGCCCGGGTTCGATACCCGGACGGTGCAGGTCACTTTCGTTGTGAATGATCATGAAATCTTTACATAGGTCATTCGCACTGTATTTCTGTTCTGGCATGTAAAGAAAATTCAGTTGCTTATGAAAACTAATACTGGTAAACTGCTTGACAGCCTGCCCAGGAACGATGCGGTGGCTGAACTGTGTTCTGGTAAATTCAGTGTGGCTAACTGTCGTGATCTGGAGTGAAGACTACCAACACCACCACCAATTGGTAATACATTAGTCTTCATTTCTTCCATTGTCAGGTTGGAATGTATCCCATTTTTATGGCGGCAGATTTCTGCGAGTCTTTGTATCGTCGTGTCTTCGCCTCGAAAGTCGAAGACAAGATAAATTGGCCAATTATGGTGTCTTTGCATTTCGCCTTTTGAGGCAAAGACACGACGACATGACAAATACGGGGGCGCCGATACGATGATTTCTACCCACCGACACGATAATGCTACAGAAGGAGATCATTAATTGCAACACTTTAATTGTTGAAAATTGAGTACCGCTCAAGGTGGTGCTAGGGGGCGTGAGAGATATTGCACTTTTTCATTATCCCCCATGTAAAGACACTCAAACCGAGTCTGCAATTTTCATGCAATTTTTTTGTGATAAGTAATTAATATATTATCATATTTTATTATCCCCCTAAATTGTAGAGCATAATAAGATTTACTGAGTATATAAATATGCATACAACAGTTGCGAGGAATATACATATGCACAGTATCGATTACATTATCATAAAAAAGAAACAACAACAGGTGAATTTGTTTTGGTAAAATAATGACTTATCGGGGTATATTGTTGTCTTAATCGAAAGCAAAAGTTAAGACTACGTTTGTTTATTTATTTATTTATTTATTTATTTATTTATCTATCTATTGATCTATTTATCTATTTATTTATTAATTATACTAATATTAATGTTTAGACGCGGGACTTGACAAAATCAATTTTTGGTGTAAGTAAAATATCAAAAGCGAGAGCGGCGTTGACCTTGTCAATCAAACACGCCTCGAGGCTGAATCTATCACGGACAGTACTTCCTGTAACAAAAATGTCCGTTCTGTTTTATCATATACGGTGTTGTTTCAAGAATAAGATGACCAGGAAGGCTTTACGGGTAGGTTTTTTATTTTTATTTTTGTATACATTGCTTGCAATGTATACAGAGTTATAGCTGCATTTCAGAAATTAATAGGGTCAATGCATTTAAGAAAGTTTTAGAGCTGCATGTGTCCATATGAGCCAAAATATTTTTAAAAAAAATGTATTAAGAGTTTAAGAAAAGTATGAAAGGATTTAAGATTTATGAAGTATATATTATATAATATGTTATGTGCGATTAATGACTGATTTTGCAGTAGGTCTATTCTACTGCGTGAGTAACGCAGTATTTTCGCCTCATTTTACTTAATTTAATAGATATATTACGTAAAAAAATACTTAAAACTGAATATATCAAATTGTTATACTAGTTTATACTAAATTCAATTAATCTAAAGTTAAAAATTTAAAATAATATATATATATATATATATATATATATATATATATATATATATATATATATATATAATAATATATATATAATATATATATATATATATATATATATATATATATATATATATAATATATATATATATATATTATATATATATAAACTGATTTCTAATTTATTTACTGAATTTGATGTTTTTTTTTCAAATGCTGTCAAAATGTTTGCTACTGTGCAATACAAAACAGGGAAATAATTAAGATTTTATTTTACAAAGTTAAGAGCAAGAATTGTTTACCTTGATAAACAAATTAAATTTTAAAGCTCATTTATATTAATATCACATATTTTCAATAGTTTAATTCGTCTGAGTGATATTTAAACGTTATAGATACTGTTAAACCTTTAGATGATGAACATCGAAATCAAGTTCCTTTTTTTTTTTAGTTATTCACTGGGAGGTGAATAAAAATAAATCCATAAAAAAAACTTTTTTCGTAATTACCAAAAATAAGGGATAATGTTTAAAAACATATCGCTAAATGTTTGAAAACGTATTGCTAAATTATTCAAATGTGTTTAAAGCCTTGTAAGATCTATTGCTAAATGTTTGACAATGTATTCCTGAGTGTTTGAAAATGTATTGCTAAATGTTTGAAAATGTATTGCTAAATGTTTGAAAATGTATTGCTAAATGTTTGAAAAATGTATTATTGAATGCTTGGAATGTCATAGTTAAATAGTTAATCAAACATTAATCTCTTTCAGACTGTCACCCTGTTTGTATTCATGTGCTGTACATACAGTGTTTATAAGTTACCAAGTCTTTACTGGTCCTTGAAATCCAGTCAGCATCAATCCGTCATCGTCAAAGAAAATTCTGTAATGAAAGATCGTTTAGAGGTAGACCACCGCCAAGTTAATGACATTTCTAAATCTCAAAACAATGATATTAGAATTGAAAACAATTTTGAACATAATCTAAACGTGTCGACAGCAAACAGTATTAACACTGTCAACGGCAGCCGTGCAACGAATGAAGGGAACAAAACGGACAACGGTACAAATATAGAATATGACAAATTACTCAAAGAAATCGATAATGGTATTGAAGCCGATATCAAATATAATACACTGGAAGAGGATATAACCATTGGTGAATTTGTTTTCGAAAATGAAGATATTGAATTTAACATAAATGATATAGATAACTTTCGGAAAAAGTCTGAAAAATTGTTTGAAACATTTCCAAACCACCAAAATTCCACAAAATATTTGATTTACTTTTGTGAAGGAAAGTGTGGGGGATTGGCGGACCGATTAAAAGGTATCACAATGGTATACATGATGTCTCTCCTCACACAAAGACGTTTTGCTATCTCTATGGATACACCATGTGAAATTGAACATTTTCTTCAACCAAATCTTTTGGACTGGTCATTCCCAGACAGGGAAAGTCTGGCTGGGAAGACGGTACAGATTATAGATTGTTTTGAACGACATGATGCCTATGAGATAGATCTGCAGAGATATGATCCTGACCCTATCAGTATGCTGAAAGCTGAAGTCGTATTAATGAAAGCTAACCAAGACTGGACAAGGATTTTCAGGAAATTGAGCGTTTCACCAAAACGATTTCCGCAGCTTTATCAGTATCATTCAAGTGAGCTTCTAAGAACTATCTACATCGGATTGTTTAAACCTTCAAGCGAACTTTCACATTCAGTGAATGAGTTTTTTAAGCAGAAAGTAGGTGATAAGAAATTAGCGTGTCTTCATGCCCGCATGGGCGAAGCGCTTTATCAACGGTACACATACCGTGAAATAATGATCCCTCTGCAGTTTTTAAAGCGCTTCGATAACCGAGATGATTTTAAAATAATGATAGCTACAGATACGGAAAATGTAAAGACTATTGCTAATCACATGTATAAGAATTTTGTTGATACCAGTGGACCAATCCTACATATCGACTACATGCGGAATGGAAGCATGGCTCAAGATCTCAAATGTGCCGGTTTCATGAGAAGTGTGGTCGATCACGTGGTTTTACAAAGGTGTGATAAATTAGTTCTTACCGGAAGTGGATTTGGCGTGACGGCAGCATCAATACGTCATACATCACGTGGGTTATATGTTTATATGAGAGGTGAAGCTGTTATGCCAACTCGGAGGGAGCTTGTACGGGAAACATTCCAATGGAGGTGCCTTTCGCCATCTTTTGACTCAAAATTTTACAGCAATATTTGTGATAGTTAATTGTAATCTATTAAAGATGTACAATGTACACATTTAATTATTTGAAGATTGTGATACTATATATGTCAATATATTATTATGTTTCTGTTACCGGTACTATTGTCTTAATTCTTATTTTATGATTATTTATTATTGTCTTTATCTTTTTAACTCACCTATTAACCAGGGTGGAAGAAGTTGGTTGACTTTAAGATCTATATGCATGCTAACCTCGTAATATTTTCACGTATCATTACTTTTAGTATGGAACAACTTTACTCGAGAGTTGGTATGAACTATTGAACTAGTAATGTCAGGATCTCTAGCGGTGTAGGTTCAACCACGTCATGGGCTTGTCGTTGTTTCCTTGTGCAAGAAACTCTACACTGCTTGCTCAGTACTGGTTAGTTCCAGGAACGGATTCGAGAGTGTGTCTATAAGCTTAAGCTGTTAGCTTCCTAAACGATCGAACTAAAATAAAATTCTTAATAAACTTAAGAAGTTCGCCAGTTGCGGGATCTAGACCAACATGTGTAACTTTTCAAACCGCATAGTCCAAAGAGCCTTATATTATTCCCTCCGTTATTCTTCCAGACAGTGACTCAAATGTCACAAATAAATTTAAATATAAAACTCAAGAAGCAATTGTCATTTCAACGATACGAACACATTCGTCAAAAACATTGAATCTTCATTTTCTGTATGTATTGTATAACAATACTCAAAAGGCACTCAGGATTTCCATAGATGTCCGAAGTCTGCCGAAAAGAACCGAGCAGATGTGTCCAAAGTGTGACGAAAAGAACCGAGCAGATACAAACACAATACCACATTATCACGTGATTACAAACGCTTATTTGATTGGATTATACGCCGAATAAGATGTCGTTGGTACAGAGAGGGATGTAAGCTTCTCCAAATCCCTCCAGAGGCGTGCACGTCGCGGAGAAGGCACACGGCAGGTCAAGGTCAAGTCATCTTAAGTACCAGAGGTGATTGGTTGACCTGTCGTGACTAACTCTGGAGGGTTGGCGCTAATGAGAGCCGTTTTTGTTATCGTCAGTATGGAACTTGATGCCTGGCCAGTATTGTCGTACTCCTCTACCACCAACGAACGAAGAATAGGCTTCAGGAAGATTCAGCTTGAAAAAGACGTCCCCGATGTGACTACCCTAGTGGACCGGCACGGATGCTATATTCTCGGACAGATGGTTATACCGGCGCCGAGTATAAATAAACTTAAACTGACTGACTGAGGGATGTAAATATAGTTACTTGCCCCTCACCGCTTGGGACTTAAAGTCAGGGACTTTGGATTCCTTCATGTGAGGAAGGTATTAATTAAGCTAGCTTACGGAAGGCCACTGGTTTTACTCAGGTGCCCACTCAATCTGTCTGAAATAATATACGAAGGAGCATCTGAGGTCTTCCTCCAGCACTTAAACCCAAAGGTGTTAGTCGCATTGATTTGACCTAAAATATGTTTAATCTTGTTATGTATGTGATAAAATATCAATATATGTTTAAAGAAATTTAAAATAGAAAAAAAAAATCTAAAAAAATCTCATATTGTTTTAGATTCTTTTCGTCAATCTTCTCTTACAATATAACAAATATATATAATTATATTTTATTTTTTTAATATATTGATATTATATTACATGGATAACAAGATTAAACAAATTAAGGTCAAATCAATCCGACTAGCACCTTTGGTTAAATCTGGAAAGTCAGTGAAATAATTATGAAATTATTTATTACAACAATAAATTGATGAATGAAGGTTTTAATAGCATTTGGCAAAATACTTATGAGCAAGCCTGTAAAAATATAAAATATTTAAAAGTTTTGCAAGAAAATATTACCTGGGCAGATCACAAAAAGTTACCGGTAAAGACATCTTGTTTTTAATGAGATACCATTAAATTTTGAAGCTTGGGAGATATATAGTTTATAATCTTTCATTTTGTTAAAAAGAACGTATTTAAAGTTATATTTGACAGACTGACTGACTGACTGATTGATTGATGGATGGATGGATTGATTGATCAACTGATATATTACAACAAATAAGTTTTACCGACCTTTTTATGGTTAAATGTTCTCGAATTATTCAAATTTTTAAAAATTTCGACACATAAAAATTCGTCTTATATATACGATTTGATAAAAAACATAATTGGGACTTTCATTTAGCTTCGACATATCGAGAAAATCGACTTCTTAGAAGATCGCCACACAGACTCACCGATTGTAATGTGGTTTAATCAGCAGACTCGTCCAATGACTAGTGGGTTTTTTAAACTATATTTTCATTATTCTCATCTTCATCAAAGACCAACGTTAGGTAAACAGGACACGATTTTTTGTGTACATATATATTTTTAATATATAAACATCCGTTTAACGCACCCAACCTCATCGCTTCATGAATATAATTTATTTTATTTACGCAAACTCGGCGTTTCGGTTTTTTTTTCGGTTTTCCAATTTGTAATTGTATATCTTACTTTTATTCATACGCATGAAGTATAATGATGTTGATACAGTTACAACTATAGTATTTGAGACACAGGAACCGAAATAATAAAAGGCACAATGCGATGCGATTCGACGTGTATATGTATATTAAAGGGCACATATAAGAACTGTCGTCACATGAATGCCTTTATATGTGTCTGTTTATCCTCAATGACCGTTTTTTCCGATGGATTATTGGAATAAACTTATCAAACTTACTTATGAAACTATTCTAGTATTATAATATAATAAACATTTAGTAGGCTACATGTATAGATATGGCTATTAATAACCACGTTCTTTTTATCGTACTCAACAAAAGTCATATCACGTTGGTTCTATATCAAAAAAGCATTTTTTTTTTTAGAAATTTAATATGCATTCACATTTGTACATACATGTTTAAAAAAAAGAGGATCGAGTTTTCAATTCAATAAAAAATCAACAAAGAAAACAAATATTGTATCATTTTAAGCTTATTTAAATTTATAATGAAATACGTATAAAAGGAAAGAAATTCTGGGTCTCAGGAAACTATATTTTGTTATGGACTACAGTGAATTTATTTTTCACCAAATCTCGTCTAAGATTTACATTTTAATAAAAAGAAAGAAAGAAAGAAAGAAAGAAAGAAAGAAAGAAAGAAAAAAAGATAACAATTTCAATAAATAATAGATAAGATATGTGCGCCCTTTTTGTGTTATCCTAAGTAATACTATAGTATAACTGAAGTACTTTATTTTATTTTATATACTTTAACATATGAGCCGAGTCACGACAAAACCAACATAATGGGTTTGCGATCAGCATGGATCCAGACCAGCCTGCGCATCCGCGCAGTCTGATCAGGATTCATGTTGTTCGCTTACAAACCCTATAACAAGTAGAGAAACTGATAGCGAACAGCATGGATCCTGATCAGACTGCGCGGATGCGCAGGCTGGTCTGGATCCATTCTGGTCGCAAACGCATTACGATGGTTTTGTCGTGACGCGGCTCATATAATGTTTGATTTTACTGCCAGTCCTGTGTAAAACAAAATGAAAATGTATTATGACACATAATTTATTATGAATAAATGAAATTCATAGAAGCACAGTGTGTACCGCTGTGTCGTCGTATATATCAATAACCGTAGTGCAATAATTTATTTCCGCACCTACTTGCATACTTAATAGGGGGATTTTTTTTTCAAATTCGCCTTACTATCTGGTTTATAAATAGAACGAGCCGGTAGTATATATACAGCTGAAAATTCTTCAAAATAATTAATTCAGACGCAAAGTAAGGAATAAGCTGGTCAAAACAGAAGAAAAATTATTCAAAATATAACTTAATTTTGGCACAAGATATAAAGGTAAATATACTTATATTAAAAAATGTGTGTTTGGAGTAATACTATTGCAATAGTCATCAACAGTTTAGAAAAAAATAAAGGTTCGTTTTTTTTTCAAGATTAAAAATAACAAAATGTTCTAAAGGTTTTCCCGAAATTTCATACCATTATTTAATATCAGTACATTCTATATTTTGATATCAAGCAATTAAATTTGATATCAAATTTTAATTTATCTTACTGTACACGTTTTCATTTAAATAATCTTTAATTATTTCAGAAAATAAATCTAAAGATGAAGAAGATTTCTATCGTTGCGGTTCTATTGGTGTCGTTGGTTATTCTGCAAACTATCACGGAAATGAGCTCAATGCCGGTTCACTTTAGAAGAAAAGCCACGTGTTGTCAAAGAAAATGCCGCGGCAGTAAAGTATGCGTAAGATATGGTAGGGAGTGCAGATGCAAAAAACCAATTGGTTACTTTATATCATAAATCTGTTCAAGTTACCGTTCTTGGTTGACATGATTCAGTTACCTCCCTTGACTTTTTGTCACAGTTTTGTCGTCTGCAACATGGGAACAAATACTCGGAAGGACGCGAGGAGGATGTGTTGTCATCCCGCAAGAGGTGACTTCGGAGGCAAGAATGTATTTCGGAGTTGTCTATAACTTTAGGGGCTTTCATTCATGTGTATATAAGGACACTTAAAATGACGAGAGTAACGAACATTTTTCTTGAAATAATTGAAAACTGGAAAGTTACGGGTCTGAATAGAAATCCAGTCATTAATAGAAATCCAGTCATTATATGACATCATGTTTGTGACGTGAACTATACGTTGTGAATACGCTTGACATATACAATCATGTAAATAATTTGTTTATAATCAAAAGTTTTTTTTATCAACTATGAATTTATTAAAAGAAATTGTAACCATTTATATATTGCTATTGCAAGGGTTCTTTAAGTATATGTTAAAGTTTATCAGTACGTATTTCAAAATTAAATTGGTCAGGCGCGACCAATTTAATTTTGCAAATACGTACTAATAAATTTAAACCTGTTTAGTTTTATAAACTGTCGTCTATTTACTAGACTGATTCACAGCTTGCCGATTTACCAAAGTAACTTGTTACGATTCATTTGAAATACTCCAATCTTTTTATTGGACAAAAAATAATTTCACTCATTCTGTTTAAATAACCCTTGCAATAGTAAAATTATTTTAAAGGCACACAATGCCTCAGAAATGCATATCTATCAAAATCTTTAGAAATTTCAAGCATGTGTAAAATAACGTTTTGATAATAGTTTTAGAGCATGATAGATGTTTAACAGCGAAAGAAATTAATAATGAATGTGCAGAAATGTGTAGTAAAAGTAGCAAAATGTAAACAAAGTAGTACTCTGACTTCCATACAAAATACTTATTCCATATAATTATACCAATTGCCAACAGCGCAAAAGAAGCAAAGATAGTTAATTTATGTTGCAAATGATATTTTTTGGAAACTGTAACAAGATATCAAAACGTCAAACGTTTTTTTTTTTTTTTTTTTGAGAAATAAAATAAATAACATTTCTGAGGCATTATGGGCCTTTAAACAAGTTGACATGTTTTCTTTTTGTATTTTCCTAGTATGATGCAAAGAAAATATGACAATTTACCACGTGAAAAGTGCAATATGACTACCATAAGATATTATGTGTCACGTCTTCGTTGTTTACAACAAGGCAAATGTTTGCTACAAACAATCTTCATGTTGATATTATTTTATATACTGTTTTACATCATAGATAAAATTGCTTGAATTAAAATGAAAAAAAACTATTTTGATTTATTTTTTATACTTACTTTTTTCTTTTGTGTATTTATAAGACATTGTTTAACCACGAATGTGTATAAAAAGGATGATTCGAAAACGATATTGAATGATGAATTTTCTATATTCCATGTCCCTGCTTAAATATCGAATACGATAGAATAAATGATTTAAGAACGTTATCGAATTGTAACTTTCCTTTCTTTTATGTCCCCTGCTGTACTCCATATTTTTATGTAATATGAAATGAGTGACTGGTCGTTTAGAACGATGACGAATTAACGAATATCACTTTTTTGCCTATCCATTTGCTTTTCACGTCCCCAATTGGACACCATACATTTGTATAAATCTGTAGCGAAAGCGGCTTTCACTGACAGAATAAACAATTGTGTTTAACAGTTTGAATAAAGATGTTTGTTCGCTGAACAAGATTTCATAGAAAAACTTTCAAGGACATCTCTATCTCAACCACTTGGCAATGATCATTAGGGATTATTTTTACGAATTTTGCTCAAATGATTCCTGTCTGTTGGTCGCCAGAGCTAAAAAAAGGGGAATTTAAGTTTTAAATTTTTCCTCTCATCTTCTCCTCAGCTACCTTATAGATTTTGATAAAACTATATGTATAAAGAAATTATCCTTAAGGCGACATTAAGCTCAATTTTCCCTGTCAAGTTGGGCTGTATCAGTAATATAATAATATCAAAAGAGTGACTATTGGTATAGTTTAAACTTTATTAGTACGCAGCCACGCGAGCAATTTAATTTTGTAAATACGTACCACCTTAGTGTTTTAAATTATTTTTTAAAACAGTCGATTTACTAGACTGATTAACAGTTTACCGTTTTACCAAAGTAAATGTGTTACGATTCATTTGAAATACTGCAATCCTATCGCACAAAAAATAATTTCAAACACTAAATTTACTTAGTGTTTGAAATTATTTTTTGTAAATAATTCCATTCCACCGAACAGATTTCCACCGGAGCTTAAAATAGAAAACACCTTTAAACGATATGTCCTCAAATACTTAGTAGATTTTGTTGAAACTGTACAGCAATGATCATTAAGTAGATTTTACAAAAATGCTCAAATGAAAGTCCGAAAACGCGCCGCTTGGCATTTTGTCGTGCTGTCGCTGGCGACAACACGACGCACAAAAGTGTTCCAAATCAGTCACTATACTATGTAGTCCTCTGTAAAAATTGAAAAAAAATTGTTCAGGATTGCTTAACAAAATAACCGCCACAGCTACAACTAGAAAAATGTTTAAACGACATCTCCTCCTCAACCACTTTGCAGATTTTGATAAAACTTTACAACAATGATTATTACGTCGTCCTTTACAAAATTCCTCAAATCGTTCCGGTCAGTTTAACAAGGTCTCTCGTTGTGATTAAATCTTGTCCATAAAGATCATATTCTCAGGTGAGCGAATAAGGGCCATGATGGCTCTCTTGTTTAAAAAATTGCATCTGTCCCCAGATCGTAAAAAATGCATATTCCGTATTTATGAAAGTTCAATGGAAAGAATGATAACGAGTTTATGAATGACTGTACAATATCATTCAATCTTTACAATAATGCTAAAATGCCTAAATGTATAAAGATTTTAATACATTTAAGTGTCACGTTTTAAAAGTGTACATAACGAGGATTGCTATTTCTGTTTATAATATTAGGTATATATAGAGATAATTATTCTGCTTATTTTAGGCTTACTTTGGCTTTGAATTCGGGTTTTTCATTTCAAAAATTAAAAAATTTCAATATAAATTACAACAAAAAAACAACAACAACAACATAACCAGCAGTTTCGAGTCTGGACATGCATACTGCATGGCACGGCCTTTATTAAATTTTATTGAGTTGCAAAGAGTTTTATTTTTAATTAAATAAAGCCTTTCATTTATCCTATCAAAAGTAGGAAGCCTTGTACATGTTTCCTCTCTTTTTTCTCTTTTTCTTTTTCTTTTTTTTTTTGGGGGGGGGGGGGGGTGTGGAGGTGGCTGTTGTAGACATGCACTAAAAGATAAACACTTCCGTTCCTGTCTGAATATTAGATCCCATCAGGTAAAGTGCGGTATAGAAAAACATATATAAAAAATGTTCATTTGTCCCCATATAAATAGTGAATCATTTGTTCATTTGTCACGATGGTCGACTTTTTTTTTTTTGGCTTCATACTGCATGCTGTAAAGGGAAACCCCTTTCTCATTTTATTAATTCCTTCCTTCATTTGTGTTGGTTTTTGCGAATGTATTTGTTTTTGACGATATTCTAGTTCCTGGAGTGTTTCAAACCTGATTTCGCGTTTAATATTGACTCGTGTTTACATATACTGCATGGCAGCCGAGAACATTGTATTTTTTTATGTAGTTAAGTGCATTTCACAAGGATACAGACCAGAAAATAAAATCAAAACAGGAAGCCTGCTACAAAAGAATGTACTTTAATATCTTTTTTTATATCACAGTTTCAGATAGCAATAAATAACATGAAAACGAGTACATCCGACAAGAAGAAAATAGTAAGATATTTATTAATATACAATGTATGTTTATAAACATATATATAATTATAATGTTTATACATAAATCCCTCTGAGTGCTATAAGCAATAATATCCGGGCTGTGGTACCAATATAGATCCAATTTGACCATGATACTCCACCCGATTTGACCACTTCTTGCAGTACTTTGATATTGAAAATTGCTAAAATTAAATGCGCCGCGTCATGACAAAACCAACATAATGGGTTTGATCAGGATCAGGATCCATGCTGTTCGCTATCAGTTTCTCTACTTGTTAAAGGGTTTGTAAGCGAACAGCATGGATCCTGATCAGATTGCGCGGATGCGCAGGCTGGTCTGGATCTATGCTGGTCGCAAACCCATTATGTTGGTTTTGTCATAGCGCAGCTGAAATATAATTAATAAGAAGACGTCCATTGTTATGATTCAGAGATGTGGGGCAGCAATTGACAAGAAAGGATAGTAGTTCACCTCCAATGGAAAAATAGATAAGCTGGAGGCCAAAGGATAGTTCTAAAAATTTACTTCTACGGCAGGTCATTTCGTGTACAAATTCAAGTACGTTGTAAAGTGTTTAAGACAAAAAGCTAACCGAATCCTTTGGAAAAAAGGACAAGCATGCATTTGGGTGAAACAAAAAGACTAGACATATGAAACAAGACAATGTTGACTAAGTCACTGAAAAACGGTCTTTATAAAAACAAAAAACAAAAGCATGTACATGTCATTGGTTTTTTGGACAAGGTTAGTGTTTAATTATAGCTCGCAATTTCTTCATTTGTCTACATCACTACGCATGTTTTGGAATTTTGAACAGTATTATTTCCGCCACGTGCAGCACGGGTTTCAGCATCCTTTAATTGTTCTCTAGTGGTATCTAATTCACCTTCTAAACTATGGATTCGTCGATCTTTTTCTTCCTGTTCACTTGCCATTCTAATCAGTTTCTCTTGCATGTCTTTAACGTTTTCATCACCCCCTTGTGTTTCCCTCAATACTTTTACTTCTGACTCTAGCTTCGTGATTGTCTCCCTTTGTTCTCCAGTGACCTTCCTTAGTGTTTCGACTTCCGCCACAAGAAGCACGTGACCTCCCTCCATTTCTTCGAATTTTTCTTTCATGTCGTCATGGTGTTTCTGAAGTCTCGCATTCTCTTCTGTGAGTTTCTACAAAATAAATGATGCTCAAGATACAACGAAAGTGTCAGGTATATGAGTAAATTAAATCTACCTATTAATAAGATGATCGCCCCAGATTCAGTAACCTCTTTTTTACCGTCTTATGTCTATTACAGATTACGTGTAGACCATAGATCATATTTCATTCGTAGGTATTTAGGTAAATGAATGGGACATAGCTATGGAAATATTCTACAAAAAATACTTTATGACGTAACAAAATATACTAAGATTTTAAGAAAAGTAAAAATGTTTCAAGATTCAAGTAAAAGTTTACATTTTATGCGCGATTAATGACTGGTTTTGCATTATTGATTACCGTATTTTTACTGCGTGACTAAAGCAGTAAGGACATAAGTTTGCAATATTACCTTTTGGAGGTAATTATAACGGTGGATTGAAGTGCTGGACTACTTCTTTGTTCACTTCACAAATTGTAGTACTTTTAAATAATTTTCAATTGGAAAAAATGGCAATTGCATAAAAAGATCATTTCAAAGTTATAATCCAATATATCAAATTTTCTCGCAAAGACATGCCTTCGAAATGCTGGAAGATTTATCTTAATAATGCAAATTCATTAACGGTTCAATCTACACCTTATTTACCGTCTTTCCATAATACTCCGCGATAACTGAATAGCGCATTCACGGAAGGTGTGCGGGTTAAGCTATGAGGGTATGGAAATACGACAAAATTCTAATCGCAAACGTGTGTTGGTTACAAATGAAGATTTAACAATACAAATTGCACAATTGTGAAATCCATAAATAAGGAAAATTGCTTCAGATTTAGCTACCTCTATTTTTTACCGTCTGCAAATACCCGGATACTGATTAGTGATTACGTAGAACACATTTGACTTAAGTACATGAACATAAAAATAGGTTAACGAACCGGAACTTGGTATCGATATAGGCTAAATGATATCTTTGAGAGTTCTCATATTTATAAACTTGAGATAGGTGCAACTGAAATATAAACTCTATGCACCATGAACATGAAAGACATATTCACGAAATATAATGATACCCCTGTGTCACACACGGTCTCACATTTCATGATTCTTTATATGGATCTATATTCGTCAATGACAAAAAGGGATGAAACTGTCCTGATTTCGGGTAATACCGGTAGATCCTTCTTGTATGCGGATGAATTTGTGGGGAAAAAATAATCAGCTCATGTTGCGGTTATGCGGTTTTGATTGTCTTCTGAGAAATAAACAACTCTGTCTCACCTGGTAGGCGGTTCTTTCCGCTTCCTGGTTGCTTAGTGTAGATTCTAATTTC